CATAATCTGTTCTGCATACAGGCTGAAAAGGTATGGAGATAGGACACATTCCTGGCACCTTTCCCAATTTTGAACCATGCAGTGTTTCCTTGCTCTGTTCTGACCACTGCCTCTTTGTCCAAGTATAGGTTTCGCATTACACGATCAAGTGTTCTGGGATTTCCATTCTTCTCAGAGTCAGCCACAGTTTGTTATTATCTACACAATCAAACGCCTTTGCAAAGTCAATGAAACACAGGTAGACATTCTTCTGGTATTTCTGCTTTTAGCTAAGATCCATCTAACATCAGCTACAATATCCCTAATACCACGACCATTTCTAAACCCAGCCTGGACTTCTGGCAGTTCTCTGCTGATGTGTTGTTCCAGTTGTTTTTGGATAATCTTCAGTAGAATCTTGCTTGCATGTGAAAGAAATAAATAGAATGCATAAATACTGACATACTACTTATTGGTGAGATGAGATGGACTGGCATTAGACATTTTGAGACAGACAATCATATGATCTACTATGATAGAGATGAAAAGGTGAGGAAAAATGGGGTTGCTTTCTTTCATAGTAAAAAAAGTCATTTCTAGATCTGTCTTGAAGTACAATATTGTGACAGGATAATATCCATACACATACAGGGACGTCCAGTGAATACCACCATCATTCAAATATATGCACCAACAACCAGAGCCAAGGAGGAGGAAATAGAAGATTTCTACCAACTTTTGCAGTCAGATATTGATGGAACATGCAATCAAGATGCATTAATAATAATGGGTGACTGAAATGCAAAAGTTGGGACTAGAGAAGAAGAATCAGTAGTTTCAAGGCATGAACTTGGTGACAGAAATGAAGCTGGATATAGAATGATAGAATTTTGCACAATGATTTATTCCTTGCAAATACATTTTATAAGAAACATAAACACAGGATATACACATGGATTTCACCTGATGGTATGCATAGGAATCAGATAGGTTACATCTGTGGTAAGACTTGCTGGAGAAGCTCAATATCAGCTGTGAAAAATGGACCAGGCGCTGATTGTGGAACAGGACACCAACTACTCATATGTAAGTTCAAGCTGAAGCTGAAGCTGAAGGAAATTCAATCAGGTACAGAGGAACCAAAATTTGACCTTGAGTCTATACCACCTGAATTTCAAAACCATCTCAGGAAGAGGTTTGAGGCTTTTGGACATAAATGAGCAAAGACCAGATGAGCTGTGGGAGGATATAAAGAATACCATCCAAGAAGAATGCAAATGGTAATTACAAAGACAGAGGAGGGAGAAAAGACCAAGATGGAGGTCAGAATAAACTCTGAATATTGCACTAGAGTGTAAAGAAGCCAAAGCCAAGGGAATAAATCAAGATTTTAAGGAGTTGAACAGAAGAATCCAAAGGGCAGAACCAGGAGACAAAGTATTACAATGAAATATGCAAAGAGCTGGAGTCAGAAAATCAAAAGGGCTGAACTGGCTTAGCATTTCTTAAGCTCAAGGAACTGAAGAACAAATGCAAACCTTGAGCTGTAATACTTAAGGATGCTTTGGGCAGAATATTAAATGATCCAGAAAGTATTAAAAGAAGATGGAAAGAGTGAGTATTCAGAGTCATTGTACCAAAAGGAATTGGTGGACACAGAAGAATTTCATAAAACAACATCAGAGCAAGATCCTGTGGTGATAAAGGAAGAAGTTCAAACGGCTCTGCAAGAACTGGCAAAAAACAAGGCCCCAGGAATTGGTGGCATACTGATTGACATGCTTCAACAAAAAGACGCTTCCCTGGATCTGCTCACCAAGTTGTGCCAAAAAATTTGGAGGACAATCACCTGACCAACTGACTGGAAGAGATCTCTATTTGTTCCAATTCCAAAGAAAGGTGATCCGACAGAGTGTACAAACTGTCGAACAATATCATTAATATCACATTCAGTCAAGATTCTGCTGAGGATTATAATAAAGACTGGAACAGCATATCAACAGAGAACTACCTGAAGTGCAGGCTGGGATTAGAAGAGGCCGTGGTACTAAGGATATTATAGCTAATGTCATATGGATCTTGGCTGAAAGCAGGGAGTACCAGAGGAATGTCTATCTGTGTTTTATTGCCTAAGCAATGGCATATGTCTGTGTAGATCTCAACAAACTGTAGCTGACTCAGAAGAATGGGAATACCAGAACATTTGATTGTGCTTATGCAAAACCTTTATTTGGACCAGGAGGCAGTCGTCAGAACAGAGCAAGGAAACACTGGGATGGGTGTGCACAAGGACGTGTCCTATCTCCATATCTTTTCAATCTATATGCAGAACAGATTATCTGGGAGGCTGGGTTCTATGAGAAATGTGGCATCTGGATTGGAGGTAGACCCATCAACAATCTGCGTTATGCAGATGACACAACTTTGCTTGCTGAAACTGAGGAGGACCTGAAGTGATTGCTGCAAAAGGTCAAGGACTTCAGCCTTCAATATTGATTGAAACTCAACATCAAGAAAACAAAGATTCTCATCAGTGGGCTTATTGGCAGCATC